CAATAATTAACTGAGGCCTAGTTCGTTTACGACGATTAGCATAAAACGAACATCCCTCTCTTGGATCCTGTTCAATACATAAATGTACTAGTGCAACTAATCAGTCAAGACAAACCGTACGGTTGACACTACAACCGTTTCGATGAGTTGTTCAATTCCATCTAGGTTGTGAACCAATGATTCTTGTTTCGCAAGTAACTGATATAGTGATCTTCGGTATGCCCGATGACGACCCACTTATCTACATGTAAAACAACAGAACGTGGAACTTATTTAACCAAACATAATTCTCATTCATCAAGGAATAACAAGTGTAATATCCACTAAAGCAAAGCTTAAGTATATAACACCAACAATTTTAATCCCGGTTCGCATTTTAAATTCCATTTCAGTTAAATTTCTGGGTACAGTTCAGTTCGGTAATATCATGTCAGTTCAGTTCCAATTTACTCAGTTCCGGTGATACCGGTTAAATCCAAACATCACGTCAAGTACAGTAGAGCATCTTAACATAATTATTTTAATCAGGCTTAGCATAGTATTTAGTAATTGTTTATGTTATTTTCAGTTTGACCAGGATTCGATATCAGCACTACCATTTTATTCAGACAGTTCAGGTGGGGACTCAGACTGGGTATTACATTGATTATAATTATTCTACTATGTTTGAGGTATGTATTACCAGTTCAGTATCCGCTCGGAATGGTCACCGGTCTATTCTGGGTTCTAGTGGCCTTAGTCTGCCCACTAGAGTGTGCACATGGTGTCCGGCCTTTATGCTGGCAGATGTTCAGGTATCAGGCAGGTGATGATGTTATCTCACCATCAGTATCAGATCATGATTATTCAGTACCAGTTTCATGTTCATGCCAAGATCATGTTATTGTAATTATTTTCGATGTTTACTTTTGTACGAGTTTCCACGGAGCACGGTGTATTTTAGTGCTCACGACCCACTTCTATCATGTTTTCAGGTCAGGATGTCGGACCGGAGGTGTGAGATGACGGGCGATTCAGGACTTTTGCTCATGTGATTGTAAATATATTTGATAACGCTACGTTTCCGCTGAATATGATGTTTTGACGAACTTATCTTTTGATCGGACTTTCAGATAATTAATACTCTCAGTAAACCGTAGACTTTTACTAATGACTAAATTAACGGTTTTTCAGAATAAGACATGTTTTATAGTAGCACCCCAAATCAGTTTTTGCAACTTAAAAACATTTTATTTTAAAGGAATTTGCGAAATTACGCACTCTGATTTCACGATAAGGCGGGGTGTTACAGTTGGTATCAGAGCACGTTTCTGCGTCTCTGAATAATTTACGAGTCAGAAAGTTTTGAAAAACTTGAACCGTCACGCTCACTCCTCGCCGACTACAGGTAAGTGCTGATTCATGTTTTCAAATTATAAACAAGTACTATTTCTATGCTCAGAACTTTTCAGTTATAAATTAGTTAGGATGCTCGAATCATGTTCAGGATCAGTAATCAGGATATCAGTCAGTATTTCCCCAGTCATGTTTAGCAACTCGTCAAGAGATTTGTGTGCTTTAGTAATTGTTTAAAGTATTTCATTGAATTGTAATCATGTTGAATCATTTCAATATTCAGATGCCACCCCGTAGGGAACCTGAACAGCCAGCGGTCCCCCAGGCCACAATGGTCGCCCTGTTCCGCGAATACCACCCTGAGAAGTTCTCCGGCCAGGGAGATCCGCATATTGTAGATGAGTGGATTCAGGGCCTCGAATTGATTTTTGAGGTCATGGACTGTCCAGATCGCTATCGTGTTACTTGCACACAGTTTCAGTTGACCGGTGACGCCCGACTCTAGTGGAATGCCTACTGGAGTATACGTCCTGGCGAGAAAGAAGGTTGTACCTGGGAGAGATTCAAGGAGATGATTCGAGAGAAGTACTATCCCACGTACTACCGAGCTGAGATGGATCGACAGTTTTTGTCGCTCAAGCACGGTACTCGTACTGTTGACGAGTACGAGAGAGAGTTTACCAGACTCCAAGCTTTCGTTCCGGATTTGGTGCGTACTGAGGCACAGCGAGCACAGCATTTCACTAACG